CAAAGGAGGAGGCTACAATGCTTGATAAGAAATGTACTCATTATTTTGCCCATGTAATTGTAACTCCTCTGTACAGTATTTTCACAATTATATATATATACATATATATATATATATATATATATATATATAGAGAGAGAGAGAGAGAGAGAGAGAGAGAGACAATATGTGGGAAATGATCTGTACAATTTTCTCCCTGGGGAGAAAAATGAGAGAGGGAGTAACAAGTTCAACAACAAATGTACTCACTACCTTACATATGTAACTGTAACTCCTCTGCACAACATCTTGACAATAAAATTAAAAATAAGTTGATTCAGAAAAAAAGGGTCTCACGGACTTTACTGCCCAAGCTGGCTTTGAACCACGATCCTCAGATCTCAGCCTCCTGAATAGCTAGGATTACAGGTATGAATCACCAGCACCGGGCTATTACATATGCATTTCTATCTATGTCCATCATTGAGGTGTGATAGTGTTCTCTATATGCACATTTTCATTGGAGGTTTCATAAATTAATTCATCTTAATTTATCCCCTCTGATAAATAGCTTGCTCCCATGAATCATACTACTTATAGATAAAATTCTAAGTTCCAGGGGGAATTATTCATGCATGTAGCTTTTTAATTAAAAAGAGAAAGATTAGTCAACCTTTTTCCAAGAGATAGCCAGATGAAAAACAATTTTTAATTACTCTTTTTAAAGTTTTCCCCCCCTCTCTAAAGCTTGAGCTTCAAAATAGTTGGTGCAGAGCTAACAACGAGACGTAGAGGTTAATAATGTTGCCGATCACTTCAGAAGGCCAACAGGTAGAAAGGCACCACTAAATCATGTAGCATGGGTATTAACGCATAAACTGAGCATGAAGAATTCTTTCTCTCTTCCATTCTCTCCTGGTGGCATACCATGGAGTTCTTGTCCTTTACTGATGTATAAACCTAGAAAGTGCTTCCCAGTTTATACTGTGTTGATGTTACCTATTACACTGTATGCTATGCTTAATGGCTTACCATTTCTGTCTTTCAGACTCCATCCTTTGGGGTGCCACAGCACATGGATTTCAGAACTACCTGTGAGGAGGTAAGTAGAACCTTTTTTTCCACAAGAATATAATATAACCTGGAAATATTTGGCATCACTTTCTACTTTTGGCGTAGGATGAACGGCAGGCTCATTTTCCTTCCAGAACATATTTTTTTATTTTTTATGCTGCAGATCTTGAAGAGCAAAGTCTGCCTGGGGAAGCCCCAGATTTAAAGACTTTCCTTTAGAAGACTCGAGCAGTGTAACATAATTGAACTGTTCTTCTCCATCAACCATGCATTATGTGATTTCAAGGAGTGTCACTGTTGGAAGATTTTTCCCCCACATAAATTATTATAAATTAGAAGACGTAGAAGGTTCCTTTAGGCACAAAAATCCTGTAACTTCCTTTAGGTATTTCAGTGTTACTTGAGATTCCGTGCTGCACTGTCACCAGACTTTGGTAAAAGTTACAGTTAGACATGGCTCTTTCAAGGTTATTGAAGACTGTTCATCTGTATAGCTCAGTAGTAGTGCCTGCACTTGAGATTCCTCAGCATAGAATCATTTTGTCTTTGGAAGAAAGGTTTTCATTATAGCAAATGTAAGTCATTCATTGGGTTCTCACTTGCCAGGCAAAATGCAAATATGATAGGTTAAACTATTTTGTAACTGCTTACATAGTATAAAATACTTTTTATATTTGAAATTCAATACAACCCTAAGTGGATTACATATAGTAAAAATCAAAACAAAACAATAGATCTTCACTTCTTTACCTTTGTGAAATGTTATGTATTTACATTTTTGAATCAATTTGCAATTTAAGTAAGCAATTTTTCCTTTTGTTTTGTCAGTTGTGGGACTTGAACTCTGGACCTGGGCACTGTCCCTTAGCTCTTCAGCTCAAGGCAAGCTGTTTACCACTTAAGCCGTAGCACCACTTCTGGTTTTCTAGTGGTTTGTTGGAGATAAGATTCTCATGGACTTTTTGTGCCCTGGCTGGCTTTGAACCACAATCCTCAGATCTCAGCCTCCTGAGTAGTAGCTAGTTGTGAGACACCTGTGCCCGGCTTCTAGAGGGAAAAATTTACTTAAAATATGTCACCACTGTGATCCAGTCACTGGTGGCACATCCCTGTAATCCTAGCTACTTAGATGACTGAAGTCTAATGGTTGCAGTTCAAAGCCAGCCCAAGCATAAATGTCCATGAAAATTTTATATCCGATTAACCACAAGAAAACTGGAAGAGACAATGTGGATCAAAGTGGTAGAGCTCTAGCATTGAGCAAAAGAGTTCAGGTACAGTGCCCAAGCCCTGAGTTCAAGCCCCACGACTCACAAAAAATAAAATACAATAAAACCAGTCACAGTGTAAAGTTTAGAATGCAAGTATATGATAGTTTTAATATTAAATAGCTTGTCATTTTCAAAAAATTGAGTATGATACTTTGCAACTATTAATGATAGTCTTTTTTAAATTGGATGATAGTTATTTGCTTACAAATTCCTTTCTCATGTGCTACACTGACCACTTTAAGGTCAAAGTATATGCTTTACTCAAGTTTTTCAATTACCATTTATCCAATATTTTATATGGAATTACCATCTCAGAAGTTTTGTATGTCTTTCTAAGCTTAAATTTTAATTGTGAACTCTCTGTTTTTAATCACATACTCTCAATTTTGGTTGTAGGAAGTCTTTGATTTCCATCAAATATTGTATTCTTTTGAATAGTAATGTTCTGAGTAGAAATTTATGTGAATAAGACAGTTAAGACCCATATGAGTTGACTTAGTAGAGATAGATAGTGGCCAAATACTATTACAACAACTGAGTTAGATTAGCTATCATAAATTGGCATAATATTTTCTAGGCCTATTTTTAAACAACACTGTTTATATATTAGTTTGAGCTTTTCTATTTACACTTTTACTTATTTTACAATAGTAATGCCACTGTGACCATATTACTCCTACTCCTGAGATACTAAGAGTTTCTTACAAGGAACCCTCTGAAAATCAGTACTACTTTAGACTCTGAGCCTCACAAGAAGTAGAGCCATACCAGACAGGACAATATTCTTATATCTTCCACACATGCTGGATTGACAGAACTCTAAAATATTTTGAATATCTCCAAACCTCAGAGTTTGCTGGAAATTTGCAGTTTTATGATTTTAAGAGAATAGAAATCATAGAAATAATTTAGTGTGGCTGTCACTGCTTTAGAGGGAATAGAGAAATTTTATGTATGCCAAGAGCCATTTAATTAATCAGAAAAAAGTAAAGCTATAATGTGTGACTTAGAACTCCTGGTAACAACTTTAAACATCTTTCGCAGTAACTGTATTACAGAGAATTATACAGTGAAAGATGTGTTAAATAAAGCTCATTTTCTTTTAACTGTTAATAGAGAATTAAGATCAAATCTGATGTCAAAGTTCCTGGGAGCAAGGTAGTCTCTTCTCTCTATATAAAAAAAGAGGAAGAAAGACCAGCTAATATCCATTTAAAAGTACCTTAACTTTCTAATATAGAGCCCTAAAAAAGTTGATTTTGTTTTTTGTAATTATTGCTCTTGTAGGTAAAGACAGAAATGTTGAACTGATGGTAGAGACAGAAGGTGAAAACAGAAACAAAATCTACAACTTAAAAGAAAATATATACATATATCAAGATATATTTATGATTATTTCTGCTTTTAAAAATTGCCATCCAAATATGGGCTCTGGTGGCTCATGCCTCTGATACTAACTACTCAGGAGAGTAAGATCCGAGGATTGAGGTTTGAAGACAGCCTATTTTATTTTCAAATACACATTCTTTAAACTCTGATCCATATGTCTGTGTTGACCACAAACATTCATATTCTGAATATATATTTCTTTTCACATAATTCTGGGCTAGGATGAGTGGCTCACACCTATAATCCCAGCTTCATGGGAGGCAGACACTAGGTGGATCATGGCTCAAGGCCAGCCCAGGTGATTCCTGTCTGAATCAATACACTGAATGTGGTAGTATACATCTGTAATTCTACGCATATAGGAGGCATAGTTTGGAGGATCTTAGTCTAGCCCAGTCCCAAGCCAAAATCAAAAGATAATATAGAAAAAATAACTAAGGTATAAACAGGTGGCATGGCTTAGATTGTAGAGTACCCTGAGTTCAAACCTCAATACTGCTAAAAAATAAAAGTAAGGGCATTTCCATGAGATTCTATCATCTACTGCCAGAAAACTATCTTATATAACTATCTTTGTATAAGTACAGTATGATGTTCACTTAACGTCATTTTCAGAGTTTATGTACATGGTACAACAACATTCAACTGTATTCACAATTTAATAATTTGTACACATTTGTGAGCTAGTTTGTACTAAATATACTGAAATATAATCTATATTTTCCCATGATTACTTAAAATTTTTAGCCTATTAAAAAACCTTCAGCATATAGATTGTCAGAGAAAGAATACAAAAATTGTTGCTGTGAAGAAACATGTGATCCACACACTAAGTAGGATATTCAGAGAAAAGGGCATAGTTGAAGCTTAAATACCCTGCTTATGAGGTAGAAAAAATAGTGATATGGGTAATTTTAAAAGTAGAACGTTATTATTAGTGTGGTAGTTGAGTCTTCATGATGATAAATACCTGGGATAAGTCTCCTCCAAAATCTAGATACAATGTTTGTTTTTTAGTCTTATTTGGTTAAAGATATTTCAAAAAGATGACTAAAGGCAACTATTTTCCTCTTTTGTGGAATCTTGTCAAGTAAATGTAAGTACTTTGCTATTCTCTCTCATTGGCTGGGCAGAAAAAGAACATGACAAGGTCAGAAGGACCTTGGTCCCAGGTGTCTTCTCAGTTTCTCAGATTGGCAAACCACAAGTGCTAGGGATCAGAAAATCTGCAAGTGTTGAAACAAATCCTGCAATGAACCAACTACTTTTGAGTCTATAGATCAATAGCTCACTAGTCCTCAATAACGATGACAGAACTAACCTGGTTATTGAAATCTTCCCCAGATAACAGTGTAGAAGAGGAAGCTAAAAATGTGATGTAGAACTAAGTGATATTGAAGGGAGTACAGGTGATGCCAATATACAGAACAGATGTATGGAAGGGGTGAAAAATTATTTAATGAAAGCCCTGAGTTAGAAAATGCAGAATTTGTCCTTGGATAAAGTAGTATGAGAAGACGTTAAAAAAATATAAAGATAAACAAAGGCATCTGCTAGGATTTGAAAAAAAATGTAATTTAGTTAAGGAAAAGACTGATCAGAAATAAACCATGAAGGAGAGGTAAGTGATAAAATACAGCTTGAAGCACTTTGTCTGAAATAATGTTTGGTACACTCTGCTAGAATATAGTTCAGTAGAATAAACTGCATTTTATTTAATACCTTAGGGTCACAAAACAAAGCGTGTTTGTCAACCAATATAAGGAAAGACCAGAAAGAATATTTGTCAAGTATACACTATAGTCTCTTTGGGGTTTCTTATATCTGATATGATTCACTTATATCTGATATGATTCATTTAAAATGAAAAGAATATAGATTTTAAAAGTTTCATAAAATCTTTTGTTTTTTTTTTAAAGAATATAATTTTTTTTTTGCCGGTCTTGGGGCCTGAACTCTGGATCTGGGCACTGTCCCTCAGTTCTTCAGCTCAAGGCTAGTAGGCTAGTACTCTAGCCACAGTGCCAGTTCTGGTTTTTTTCTGTTTATGTGGTGCTGAGGAATCGAACCCAGGGCCTCATGTATGCAAGGCAAGCACTCTACCACTGAGCCTGAGCTACCTTCCCAGCCCCAAGAATATAATTTTTCAAAAAGATTTTTTTTTTTGCTGGAGTTTGAACTCAGGTATTTTCACTTGTTAAGATTGCTTGCTTATTGGTCTGCTATCATTTGAGCCACTTCTTTAGCCTAGCCTTTTGCTAGTTATTTGGAGATTGAGAAGACTTTTCTGTCCAAGCTGGATTTGAACCAGGACCCTCTATATCTCAGACTTCTAGGTAGGATTACAAGCATGATCCACCAGTACCTG